GCCTTTATTCTTGTAATTACATCTGTGAGTCAGTGGAGGTTCACTGGTCCACACAGGGCTGTCTGGGCAGCTGCTGCAGCCTGGCTGGCCTTTGGTATTGCCAAGAGCTAGGATAAGCTCAACCCCCCTGGAGATTCCTGCTGAGGCCCAGGATGAAGGCACAGTGATTATTAAAGGCAGAGGCTCTTTTCTGAGCACAGAGAAGTGAACATGAACGGGAGAGAACCCTCCTGACGGGTATGCTGTCATGGCAGCCGCATGTCATTGGCCAAGGCAGGTCACACAGTCAGGAGGGGAATTGCTTTCTGGCTCTAGAGGGAGGGGCTGCAACATCATGAGACAAAGGTAGGATTCTAACAGAAGGGAAGATTGGAGGCCAATGATTTTACTGAAGAATTTAGGCCATTAACTTTATCTGCAAAGAAGACAAGAAAATCATTACAAGATAATGAATGAGTGATGGAGAAAATTTCTTGTCTTGGTTTGGGGGAATAGGATTCATTTTGATATTTTAGAAATCATGTTAAAATAGGGAAGAGCTTCTCTTGCTTTCAACATTTAGAGTCCCTCTGTGGAAGCCCTCTACCTTTGATGATCTCATAGTCTACAGATTTCTCTTCTCTTCTCCCTCTACCCCTGTATTACTCTAGACATTGCTGGTCCAAAGGATGAATCTCAACAGTGTTGGAGGAAGTGAAAATAGATCAAGACAAACTACCTCCCCCTCCCCTTGAGCTCCTGTCTTCCAAAATGAGTGGCTTCTAAATACATGACTATCACTGGAAAATTAGTCCAAGGGTGGGTTATGAAGGCAGACTGGGTAGTCAGGGCCTCATTTCTCAGAAGGCAGAGCAGTGTAACCCTGCCTTTTCTTTGGAAAAAACAGGAGAGAGCTAGGGTGAGCAAAATCTAGTTGACATATCTCAACATGTTACTTTGACTTCAGAAAGCACAGCATCAGTGGGGCATTCTGGGAAAAAATAAAGAGCTTAATTGATGATATTGGTTCTGTTTTGTTTTGGTTTTTGGTTTTTTTGAGACAGGGTTTCTTTGTGTAGCTTTGGCTGTCCTGGACTCGCTTGGCAGACCAGGCTGGCCTCGAACTCACAGCAATCCACCTTCCTTTGCCTCCTCGAGTGCTGAGACTACAGGTGTGCACCATCGTACCTGGCGGCAAAGATACTGGTTTTGATGAAGGTGATCTTTATGTGTTCCCATTTCTTCTGTGTTCAGAAGAAACCTACCCGTTTTAGAGTTGAGGAAGTCATGTGACTTGCTTTGACCAGGGAGAATGTAGAATGTGCAACTTCTAGGGCTGGGTTTTCCGCTGGCTCCTTCCTGTTGTGATTATTGTGGGGATGTATGCATGGAGAAGGAATCTCTGTCCACCGATGCCACAGACTGATGCCATGGTCAGTTCTCCTGGTGACATGTCCTGGACAAGAGAAGTCAATCTTTTCTGGCTGAGTCATGGAAACTTTTGAGGTGGTTATAGCAGTATGAGGCGGGTATAGCAGGATATCCCTGTCTATGCCAACTCAGAGGAGCATTGAAGAATCTGGGGTGACAGAGCAATGACCTGGAGAATTCTGGCACCAACATAAACAGATAACCTCTGAAATATACAATAAGGATTATGTTTATGGGAAGAAAACAAATTGGAAGTATCAATAAAGCCAATAAAATGTGAATTGAGGAAAAAATTAAACTCAGTTTCTTTTATGGTGGGAATCCACACGTCTATCATTAAAAACTGAAGTTTAAACCCAAAGATAATTTCTCTTCCACGTTATTCTTTGAATTTTTTAACCTTTATTTTGTATGTATCAGTGTTTTGCTTGCATGTGAATATGTGTACTGAAGGGCACATGCCTAGTACCCCAAGTGGTCTGAGAGGCCACTGAATCTCCTAGCACTGGAGTTACAGATGATTGTGAGTGGTCCTGTGGGTCCTCGGAATTGAATCTGGTCCTTTGAAGAAGTCAGTGCTCTTAACAGCTAAGCCGTTTTTCAAGCCTTACACTTTGAATTTTAAACCAAGAATATAAAAATTTCACAGCCAGACCTGGTAGTGTACACCTGTAATCCCTGCACTGAGGGAGACAGAGGCAGGCAGATCTCTGTGAATACAAGACCAGTGTGGTCTACAAAGTGAGTCCAGGACAGCCAACGCTGCATGGAGAAACCCTGTCTCGAAAAAAACAAACAAACAAAAAAACGCACACACAAAAAATAAAACAAAAAACAAAATAAAAAAAAATTTTTTTTTTCTTGCTGGGCCTCAAAGCAAGGCCTCAGACACACTGGGCAAATATTTCATCATTAAACTCCATCCTCTTGCCTGGAAGACCTTGACTTAGAACCATATCACTCTGTCTAAAGATGAAAGGAATTCAGCAATTCTTTTTCAGTTTTACTTTTCTTCCTCTTGCTAAAATAAAACTAAATGTCAACATTCTCGTCTTAGGTTGGCTTCTCCTAGAAGCTGACTGAGGTACTAACTAAATTTGAATATTTTGGGTGGCAGAGGGAGAGGAGAAGTATGATGGTTCACTTTAATTGTCTTGTGTTGAGACCTGCCCACTGTAGGGATCACCATCCCCTGGCTGGGATCCTAGACTGTCTCAGTGGAGAAGGGAGCTGCCTGCACACAGTGCTGTCCCGGACCGTGAGTGTGACCCAACAGCTCAAGCTCTTGCTGCTGCGGCAAACCTTCTGGGATGGACAGTGACCTGACCTGGTCCCGTGCACGAAATAAACCCTCACTCTCTTAAGTTGCTTATGTGGAGATATTGTATCCCAGTGACAGAGAGAGAAAACTAAGACATGAGGGATCCCAGCAGTCACGGACGGTGCTGCGAGCTAGGAAGAGAAGGCTACTAAAGAGAAAATGGCTGCTTCTGATACGTGGGGTTTGGCCCTGCAGGGGTGCCTGTCTCAGAGCGGTCCTGTCTGGATGACAAAGGCTTCACCCACCCGTGTCCGCCTGGTTGTTGATTGCATGCTTTCTTCTCCCACCTCTCTGCTCCCGATCCTGTAGTCAGCGTGACCCTGAGCAGAGGGCATCATTCTCCCTTGGAGAAGCTGTTCACTGAAGAGTGGATGCCTGCAGGAAAAGGGACCAGCAACACTGAGTAAAACTTTTTGGGCTTAAAAAGCTTGTATAGGAGATTAGCATCAACCTCAAAAGGCTTGCATACTGTGTTACTTAATTTTTATGGATTTCTAGAAAAGCCACAACTTTAACAGAAATTTGTCTTGTAGCTGCCTGGCGCTGGGGTCGGGGAGTGGCTATGGAGAGGCCATCTTTTAGAAGGTCCTAAAAGACAAGTTTCTCTGTGTGGAGTTGTACCTGAAAAACACAACACTGATGGCTTTAAAAATGGGTCTGCATTCTTTGTTTTAAGGAAGAGGGATTCTTGTTTCCAGGATATCTAATGAATACAAAATCAGGCAGAAGGGATGCGGCAGGAGTCAGAGACTAGACCACAGAAAGAAGCAGTGTGGTGTTCTCTGTCTCTGTGTTCTCTGTCTACCTCCACTGCCGAGCAGCCCTGAGGATGGTGATGAGGAGCTGAGGCCTCCAGCCAACAGCCTTGGGGAGGAGCCTCCCTGGAAACACATCCTCCATCCTCTTCCTAGAGGACTCTACTGCCAGCTCACAGTTTATGACCTCGTGAGACATGGAGAATAAGACAGCCGGCAGAGTCGCCTTCAGGAGCCCCAGCCCTCGGGGCTGAGAAGTGCTAATCCAAACTACTTAGACAAGAGGTGTTTCAACTTCAGAGTTCATACTTGGACAAACTGAGTCTCCCTAATTCAACCCTCCCTACCCCCGCCCCCGATCTGAACCGCTCCAGAAGGAGAAATCCAAGTTTGACGCATTTCAGATTTTTAAATTGGTGTTGGTATTACGTATCTGGTGTAGATGTGTGTGGCACAGCAAGAATGCCAGGTCAGCTTTGGGGACGTGAGCTGCCTTCCACCTTTATGGGGCTCTGGGGTTTAAGCTCCGTTTCTGACTTGCCCGGCACAGTTGCTCTCTGAGCCATGCTTCCCGCCTCATTTCAGAGTCTGATTGCTGGGTGAGGGCTGCTCCGCCTGGAGGAGAACTGGCTTTTGTTTTAAGCTGTTGTGGACTGGAGTGATATGGGTGACTAGGGCACTGGCTGGAACACTAACACTCATCTGAAGAGCTATGCTTGGTGTCACACAGCGTGGAGAGAGCGACTTGGCATTATATTTATCTAGAGTGAGTGATGGTGGTTTCCGGGTGTGTATGAAAGTGAATTTGGGTGTTCTTGTTTTCTTATGGTCATAAACCTTTCTTAAGGTGCTCATGCATCATTAAAGATAGGAAAGCCACATGTGCTGGCTCACGCCTGTGATCTTGACTTGGCGTTTTGAGGCCAGCTGAGGCTACAGAGTGACTTCCAGGACAGCCTTTATTATGGATGCATACTATCTTAAAAATAAAAATAAATTAAAGTGTGTGTAACAATGTGTGTGTGTGTGTGTGTGTGTGTGTGTGTGTGTGTGGCAACTGGGGAGATGGTTCTGTCAGTAAAGTGTTTGCCATGAGGACCCAGTTTGGATCCCTAGCCCACATCAAACAAAATCTGGGTAAGGTGGCCCATGTCTAGAGACATGACGGTTCCTGATGCTTGATGGCCGGTTAGCCTTGCCAAACTGGTGAGCTCCAGGTTCAGCGAGGGACCTTGTTCCAAAAAAATAAGGTGGAAGACAACTATATCAACTTCTGGTGTCAATCAGCAATGTTCCCAGCTGCAGACACACAAACACACATACACATAAACACATACACTCCTATGCATAACACACACACACACACACACACACACACACACACACACACACACACGCGCGCGCGCGCGCGAACAGACTCGTACACAAATGAAAATAAAGTAGCAACACAGGTGCCGCTCGGCGCCAGGCGTAGGTAAGAGTATCATGTATTTATCTGCGGTAGGTAGCGGCCAGGCCGGGGGCGGCTACAGGAAGCAGGTGCACCACTCCTTCAGGCAGGCGGTGCTCTGGCGGGCCTCATGCTCCGTAGCGCCACAGCAGCAGATGATCCACCTCTGGAACTCCGCCTCGTTCTTGTGCATCAGGAGGAACTGTCCCAGCAGGATGTAGGCCTGGGAAGAGGGGCAGAGGGTTACCAGAGTCCCCCTCGGCGTGCCAGTCCTCCTCTCACCGCAGTCTTCGGTGACAATCAGAGGTTGGGGTGTGGGCTGGAGGGAGGCTGCTAATGCAGCAAGGCCCTGGGGAAAGGTGACGTGAAGTTAATCACTCGGCTCTCTCAGGCCTGCTCTAGGGACTTGTCATCCTGCGGAGACAACTAGGCCTCAAACTTGAAGATGTTGTCTGGGATCTTATGAGAACTTCCTGACTCAGGGTCTAAAGCGAGGGTAGGGGCTGAGAACCTGCTTTTCCACACAAGCTTGGGCCCAAGGCAGTGTTTGAGGGGCAGGGGGTGCGTGGCTAGCATACCTTTGACCTCCCCTTAGGCCTGTCATTTAATATTTTCCTCTTTTTTACCCTTTGGTGGCGGTGTTTATGTGCACGCTGTGGTCCAAGCCCAGGGCCTCTCCGGTACTGGGCGTGTGCTCTGCCGCCGAGCAGCACCTAGAGCAGCTCTCTCTCCAAAACCCATACAGCTAAGCCGGGGTGCAGCTGCCTCCGCCCCCACTGCTCTCTCAGCCACTGGAATGTAGGGTACCTCAGCCTCGCCAGCAGGCTGGCTGATCCTGCATCTCGGGGACGGTCCCAGGCATGCGGGACCCTAAAAAACATTTGTTCGCTCTCATCCCCTGATGCCAGGAACCCCTTCCCCAGTTTCCCCGGACAGAAGCGATCGTAAGGGCTCCCAGAGACTTACGAGAAGTCTTTGTCACCTGAGAACCACGGCAGGTGTGGCTGGCAGGTGAAGGGCACATTAGTAACCATCTGGCTTTGCAAACTACCTGTGTGCTCAGGAACTCAGCGGAAAGGAGAATTCACAAAACCTGAGGCGCAGCACTGCCCCGCCCTGCCCCAGCTCGCCCTGCTCTGTTCACTAGTGTGTGCCAAAAGGGAAGGCAAGGGAGACACAAATGTTGAGGAGAGTCATCCTTGTGGGAACAGTCCAGACAGCAGAGATCACCCTAGACCTTGACTCTCTTATTTGAGCCTCTAGCTCGAGCTGCGTCGCTGGCCTCACCCTGCCCCTGTGTCCTTTCTAAAGGAGCTTTTCAGCTTCTTGGACTGAACAACACCCTACCAATTTCCCTGTCTCTACAGTCTGTGGACAGCCAAGGTGGAGCCTCTAATTGTGTGAAAATAAACAATAAGCAAATCTCCTCTAATAATTACATATAATCTCCGAGTCCTGTTTCTCTGGAAACTCCTGATAATGTAATTCCCAAGAATGTCTGCTCAGAAAGAAGCCAGGAGCAAAGTATACCTGCATGGGTGTATGAAAATGCCATTGCAGTAGAAGCCGTTACTCCGTCTGCTAAAAGTTAATTTTAAGAAGTTAGACACTGGGGAGATGGCTCAGTGAATAAGAACGTTGTCTGTGCAAACGTGAGGGCCTGAGTTCAAGTCCCCAGTACCGATAAAAAGCTGGCTGTGCTCACAGAGCTTCGTTTGCCTCTACCTCCCCAGCATTGCAGGGTCAGAGGTTGCTGGGGCTTGCTGGCCAACTGCCTAGCTACAGAGTCAGTGAAGACTCTTTCAAGAGAGACAGAATGCTAGGCCGGGACACTTGATATTCCCGCCCCGGAAAAGAGAAGAAGCTGTGTACTTATAGTGATTTTAAGGTACAACTTTTATTTAAAAGAATAAAAACAAAACCCAGTGTCTTAGCGTGATCTCATTTTTCATCAGTGTCCTTGTTTCACTAGTGGATTTTGCTGAGATGGTTTTAAATCAGGGTTTGTTTGTTTGTTTGTTTGTTTGTTTGTTTGTTTGTTTTTGGTGGGGGGGGCGGGAGGAAGATTCAAGTCAGGGTTTCTCTGTGTAGCCCTGGCTGTCTTGGACTCACTTTGTAGATCAGGCTGGCCTCAAACTCACAGAGCTTCGTTTGCCTCTACCTCCCCTAGAGCTGGAATTACAGGCATATGCCACGGCGCCCAGCTCTAAATCATTGGCAAATCATTGGCATTCTGTAGGTGCTCTCTGAGGCACGTGTTACAGCTGTGGAGGTGCTCAGGTGAGTACAACAGGATATGCCTAGAGCTTCCCGTGAAAGAAACACCAATGAGATTAGTAATCCATGTAGGGCTTGGGGATTTAGCTCAATAGTGAGAATTCTTTTCCAACAAGCACACGAGCTTTGGTTTGGTCTTTAGCAGGAGAGAAAAAAAAAAAACAACAAATAGCAAGTGATACTTTTGAGCTAAAGACACCAGACATGTAAAATCCAATCCATTTGATTCTCAAGGGTGTCTTGCCCACCCCATTCTTCAGAATCTAAAGTTGAGATGGTGTCCCAAACAAGGACACCAGAGAGGGAGAGACGCCCACCTCTGTCCCCCAGTTCTTCCACCTTCCAGCCATCTGTAGTCCAGTCTGGAGGGAAGGACTCCTCTGCCTGTTTCTGAGGCTGGCCATGGCCTCAGCTGGTGTGGTAACAAGAGCCTCAGCAGCCAGGAAGCCCAGCAGCCAGGAAGCCCAGGAATGCCTGGTAGGCAGGACCGAGGCAAGCTTTCCAGGAACGTGGCAGGGCGAAGGGTCTCTGAGCCAAGTTGAAATCTGACCCTCCATCCTCTGGGCTTGCCCTGGAGTCCACGCTGGCATCTTCCTGAGATTACGGAGAAGGCCTGCCTTCGTGCTTTCTTCATTGCTCCGGAGGGAAGGGGGACTTCATGGCTTTCATGGTGGCCTTGTTCAATGCCGTTTTGGTTTCCCCCACTAACTCCAGAAAAATGAACCCCTAATCAGAAACCCTGAGGCAAGGAGGCTGGTATAGAAAAACAGACACCCCAGGCTGGAGTTTCTACCTTCCAACACCCTGGCCAGTGGCCATGCCAAGGCCCGGGACATACATTTCTTCCTGGAGTAACAGATGGAGACTCAGGGGCAGACTTGTTCTCAACTCCAAGTCCACACAGGGAAATTCTGCCAGGGTCTTCCCCACGCTGAGTGAACTAGTCTCTTTTGACTATTTTCCTTGCTAAACTGTAGCAATGTAAATCTGCACCAGAGTCTGATTCCTGCTGTTGCCTGGGCCTGTGAGCAGCCACAGACTGTCCAATGCTCTTAGCGCTGCGCTGCCGCTGGCTCAATACTTAATACATTCACCCTTGGTCTTAGCCAAAAGGCTGGGAAGCTGTAAGCCTTTATATGGCTAAACAAAAGGTCTCACCTTGTCACTTAGCATTGAGCCCTGCAAACTAGATAGCTGGCCCCAGTCTGCACTCATTAAAATGTTGACCCTTCCTTACCTGGCCTTGTCCAACAGAGATGAGCTGTCGTGGCTTCTCTTACTATCAAGCTTCTAGCAGTTTCCCTTGCCCTTGGTCAGCAGCTCCCAAGCCCCAGTCCAGAGAGTGCCTCTCAGTGTTGCAAGACACCGCTGCGTCTCTGACACCCTACGGTCATCAGTGGAGATGTCCAGCGGCGACCGTGCAGACCCAGGTGTTTCTCGGCCACAGTCCTCGGTGTGAGCGCTCAGCCCACAGCGGGTTCTGGCCTCCTTTCTCTTCTCACTGCTCTGGAGACGCGCTCCCATCACTACATTATTCATTTATTTAAAAGAATTCAACTTTCCCTGGTGTCCACCACTCCTTTTGTATTCACCCGGCAACACTATGCACAGTAAGCGCCAAACTTAGGTGACTGGCTTCTTGCAGGCTTTGTATGTGAGATGGCGGGGGCCCCCGGGCCAGCTGAGAGGACAGGAGGAGCTGGGTTCCTCAGCAGTTCAGCATGTGAGAACCTGGGGACATGAGGGAGGCAGCAGCTGACCATCTTGAGGCCTCCTCACCCTCAGCTCAGCCTTCTGGCCTCTCTTCAGATTACAGCGAGTGGCAGTGGGAGGAGACTGTCCATTTTGAGGACCCCAGGCTGGAAGAGGGTGGGTCCATAGACGCTTTTGTCTGACAGTCTGACTTTATGTGTGGGTGGTGGTGGGCAGGGGAGACGGAGCTCCGGCCCAGTTGTGGCAAGTCTGACACCATGCATGGGATCACTTTCCACTCACATCATCCCTTTCTACCTAGCAGCGATCCTGACACTGTTAAATCTCTACCAGTGCCATCCAGGAGAAATAGCAAGTGAGCCAGCCATGCGAGCAATTTTAATCTTCTAGAGGCCACAAAATGAATAAGAGAGAGAGAAAAGATGAAGTGCATTCCAATAACATACTTTACTTTTCCCATATTTTCAAAACATTATTTCAGTATGTAACCAATAAAAAATGTTATGAGATGGTTCACATTCTTTTTCAGGGGAAGGCTTTAGCATCAAAGGGCATGTTTGATATTTTAGCCCATCTCCATCAGACAAGGGCTTAGCAGGGCCAGTGGCTACCATTTTGCATTTAGGTCCTTAGGCCAAAGCTGATTGTTCCAGTGAATAGCAGGTACAGAGAGCAGGTGCACAAAGACCAGACACTTTTTTTTTTTTTCTTCTGAGATCCTGAGATCCTGAGGAGGCTCAGGTAAGTCAAAGTTAATATTTTCTTCTTCTTCTTCTTCTTCAAAAAAAATCATGTGTGTATGTGTGTGTGTGTGAAAGAGAGAGAGAGATAGAGAAACAGAAAGTGTCTGGGCATCTATGTGCCATAGCACACATGTGTACAGGTCAAAGGCCAACCTCAGGTGTCAGTTCTTGCCTTCCACTTTGAGAGAGAGTCTTGGTGGCTACTGCAGAAGCCTCCTGTCTCTGCCTCTCAGCTTCTGGAGGTATGCAGGGTTATAGATGTGCTGCCATGCCAGGCTGGGAGTCCAGGGATCCTACTCAGACATGGCAGATGTTTTCCCCCTTCAGCCATCTCCCCAGCCCAGGTTTTCTTTCTGAAGTCAGGTCTCACTGTGTTGCCCAGGCGGGTCTTGACTGTATGGGCTGAAATAACTCTCCTGTCTTGATCTCCCCAGTCCCTGAGACTACAGACACACACTCCTGCACCCTGTGAATCTATAGTTCTAAAAGTCATGGTTTAACCATGAGGAGTAGGCCCATCCGTGCTGTCTTCCAGGCTCTGGGGAAGTGGAGAGGGACACACACAGGCCCCTCTTCCTGTCTGCCCTCTGCTGAAGAGACACAGGCTCGGCACAGGGACAAAAGGAGAGGGTCCTAGAATGGAGCTTCTAAACCTGTGGGTTGTGACCCCCAAAAGCTCACTAGAAAACTCAGATATTTACACCACAATTTATAACAGTAGCAAAATTACAGTTAGCACGTGGCAAAAACAACAACAAAAAGTTAAGGTTGTTGTCAGCACAACATAAGGAAGTGTATTAAAGAGTCGTGGCATTAGGAAGGTTGAGGACCACTGCTCCAAGGAGGACTGGTGAGAGTGAAGATGTCTGCTCTATTCACACCCCTCAAGAGCTGATAGAGAGTTGGGGCATCCTTGCAGACTGGTGGCTCCTTGTGCCCTGCGCATGCGGCAGCCAGGTGGCTCAGGAGAGAGCTGGTGGCTGAGGAAAGCCCAGACAAGCAGGTGTGAGGGCAGTGCATAGAGCTGCAACCCACCAGGTGCTTAGCAAGGGTGCAGAAGGAGCTGGGAGAGCCAGTGCCCCTGGGGAACCAGTGTGGTCCCTGAGGCAACGTTTGTTCAGGGCAAAGATGAGAACTCAGCCTGGGGAGAGAAAAGGAGGAAAATGATGGTCACGGGTCAACAGAGGCTGTGAAAACAGAGGAGGGGTAAGGCCCTGAAAGATGCCTCTCCCTGTAGGCAGAAGATGAATATCCCAGGAGCAGCACTTTCGTCGGCTAGTCCAGAGATCCCTGTCTCCTGCAATCTGCCTGTCCTGGATACTCTCATTCTGGCATCAGCCTCCTGAGGCACTTGTTCATCTTGTAGATGCCACACCTGGGCACTTTCCTGGGTCCTCCTATGGGCCCAGTCAGGGTCTGATGGGTACCAGGCTCTGATATGGAATATAACAATCAAATCTTAATCTAAGCCCCTTCCTGCTGGGCAGAGCGCATGAATCTTCTTGTGTTGTTTATGACAGTATATCTCTGGCCATTTTCATGCCCACTGGGGACCTCGGGCAGCCAACTCCCGAAGCCCTGCACTGTACGTTGATTTTCCCTGATTTGATTTCTTTATCTGTGTTATGCTGTGTCTTAATGCAGTGTTGGATGAGGTGCCCAGGTCCTCTCAGGGCCGGGCAAGCACTACCACTCTGCCAGTGAGCCACACCTCCAGCCATGCCCTGTTCGCACTGTAGAGAATCCGGGAATGCCCAGGACCTTGAGTGTGATGATGGGCACTGTGCTTGCCAGCTGGGCATGAGCATAGAGATCTCCTGCCTGTGGACTAAGACATCCACAGGCACTTCTCAGAGTCCTGCCTGTGCAGGCCAGAGCCAGGAGCCTGAAAACGTCTGTCTAGCCTCTCATTCCATTATCTCCAGCATGTCTGTGCCCCTACTATAATCCTTACTTAGAACAAAGTTAAGGTAGAGAAGGAAAAACTACAGGGCCATAAAACAAAGCAGAATTTGGCAGGGGCAGAGGCTGTTACACTTCGAGGCACAGGGAATGGCTGGAGTCTTGGGATCACTCTTTGTCTTGGGTAATGGCTACCTGACTATGCAGTTATACAAACTCACAGAACTGCTGTGTGTGGTAGCATACAGATGGCCTCCAGGACCTCACACAGCCAAAGTGAACCCCAAAGTGCCTACTGTTATGTTATCTACCATGTTTACAGGAAAAATGAGGTAGAAGAATTGCAAGTTTGAAGCTAGCTACACCAATGACTTTCAGCCAACCTCAATTCCACAGCAAGACCCTGTCTGAAAAAGCTGAAGCAAAAGTCATACAACTCTGTGGTAAAGAGGGTAAATATTACTGTCCACACTTATATCTTAATAAGAATATTTTAAAATGGCAATCACAGGAGAACGACAAGGAGAAACCCATAGTTATGGAAACATGGTGGATAACAGAACAGTGGGAACCTTTGGGATCTGCTTTGGCTGGGAGGAGGTCCCGGAGCAGCCTGGAAGCTGGGAGTTGTCCAGCCCCTGGACCTAGGTGGTAGGTCCACTGGGAGATCCACGGAGGTAAAAATACACTGGGTCCAGCACCTCGCGCTATGCCCTGTACACAGTGGAGGAGTGTGTGGGTTAATCTTCTTTGTCGGCAGGTTTGGAATCCCCTTGGAAGCACACCTCTTAGCATGTCAATGAAGTTGCCTTCAGTTAACTGAGTGCAGGGCGGCCTGCACTGATGTGGGTGGCACCATTCTATGGATGGACGCTCAGACTGAGTAAAATTCAGCAAAGAAGAAAGCCAGATGAGCAACTGCATTCTCATCCCCCTGCTTCTTGGCAATGCCTTCCTCACCATAATGACTGTATGACTTCAAACTGTGAGCCAGAATAAACCTTTTCTTCCCTAAGTTGCTTTATGTTAGGCACTTGTTCACAACCAGGAGAAAAATAACAAATTCAAGAAAAAAAATAAGAAGAGAAAAAAAAAAGAATAATAATTTCTTTAAAGAAAAGGTTATTTAATTTTAAAATCCTCCCTTAGACAGACTTGCCTCCCCCACTGGCTGCTTGGGATTGGTCCTTTCCCTTTGTCAGGGAGAAAAGAAAGCATCAAGTTTCCTCAGTCATGTAACTCCACTCTCCTGAAGGTACCACCGAGTGGATATTCACTTGGCTGAATAATGGGGTGAGATTCACGATATGTAACACAGGCACAGTGCATATGTCAGGCAGGATTCAGGGGCCCAGGCGTTAGATTTGCACAAACAAATGTAATGTCAGTCATGAATACACATGCAGCAGTCCTGGCCTCTAAATGTTTTTCTTATATTAGTGGAAGACAAATTGGTCATTAAGGGCATTGCCCTTGGAAGGGAAAAATATCATTCTCATGGGACACTTACTAGTTCTAAAGACAGCAACTTGTACAAAAAGCATGAAAGGGGCCTCGGGGATATAGCTTGTGGCAGAGTACAAGCTTAGCAAACGTAACTAACTCCCTGAGTTCAAGCAACAGCTCCAATGTTCTGGTGAATAAACAAAAGAGCATAATAGTCCTTCTCCACCTTGTGGCTTTCTATTGCACCCTGTGTTCACACGAGCTCCTGCCCATGAGACCATCCTGCCATGTTGTGATGTGTGTGGGAAAGGTCCTCACCAGAGGCCAAACACATAAAGTCACCCAATATTAGACTTTCAGTCTCCAAAACTAAGAGCTAAGTAGAAAGCCTTTCTTTATAAAGCCCCTAGAATCAAGTATTTTGTTATAGTAATAAAAACTAGACTAACACATTCCAATTTCACTGGCTCTCCCTAAGGCCATTTTGGGCTGGGAACGAGTCTTGGAGCTCTGATCTCCTCTAAGATGGAGCTCTAAGCCTGCCATTGTCATGCTGGTGCCCTGCTGGAGACAAGCAAGAAGCCATGCCCCTTCCTAGAGGTGGGGAGTACACACAAGCATCCATCCTGACAGTTCGTCCCAGTCTTCAGTAGCAGACCTGGCTCTATCAAGTCCAGAGTGTTTGAACACGGAGCTGATCCTGCCCGTCGCAGCTGCTCTGCACAGAATCAATTCTCTTTGCCCATCATCTACAAGCCTTGGGGGCTCCTAAGCACATGGGGGTCACACTGGTGAAGTCCGTGGCACCCTGCCAAGTGGCAGCTTTTTTCTCTGACGGCCACTCAACTGGGACACGCGACAGGGGCTGCCATCTGGCAGGACTAGTGGAAGACAGGTTAGAGGAGTTAAAGAAGGAAAAAAAAAAACAATGCACCTTGTTAAAACCTTTGGTGACCAAATTGATGGCAAGCTCACGGCTGATTCCATCCACCCAGGCCACATCCTTTTCCCCCATGGGTTCAGAGAGGAAGGCTCTCAGCCTGGGAGACATGTGGTCCATCGCCTGCAACAGACATGGAGCGGAGAGAGGCTATGAGACGTCTAATCGCTCTACAGTGGACATTAGGGGGCTCCGAGGGACAGAGGGCAGCAGATGGCAGACTGGAGTCTGTCATTCAGCGTCTACTGGGGACCTTCAAATGCGCTGTCCTGTGCTGGAGGACTTTACACTTCCCTTCCCTCGTGCTGATGGCTGTGGGCGAGTTAGGTCAGTCCAACCCCATGACAGTTGAAGGTGAGCTTGATGCTAAGAATTTCAAGCTCCCTTTCAACTCTTTCACCCACACATTAAACATCTGCTGGGCTGGTAAGATTTTGACACAGTGGGTAAACATACTGGCCACAAGCCTGAAAACCTGTGTTTAATTCTTTAAACCTGCAGTTCTCAACCTTCCTAATTCTGCGGCCCTTTGATACGGAGTTCCTCATGTTGAGGTAACGTCCCCCTCCCCCAACATATCATTATTTTGTTGCAGCTGATAAGCAAGATACCTGATATGTGACTCCTGTGCTCAGAGGACCCGGCCCACTGCGGGCAGCACCGTTCCCTAGGCAAAGGTCACTGAACTATGTAAAACAGAGGGAAGCTAGCTGAGCAGGCAGGTAGCTTGGATGCATTCTTTTCTCCCTGGCCTGCTCTTGACTGTGGGTGAAGGGTGAGTAGCTGCTCAAGTCCCCTCAGTGATGGTAACCTGGGATTGAGAGCTGAGATAAATCCTGTCCTCCCCGTGTTGCTTTTTGTCAGTGTGTTTGCCACAGCAGCTCAGATTTCATGTGATGGCAAAGGGACAGAACCAGCTCCACAAAGTTGTCCTCTGACCTCCATATGCACAGGCAACCACCACAATGATGATAGAGGTTTAAAAGAAAATGTCATATGGAAACACATTTTTTTTAAAAAGCTGCCTTCTTCCCTAACCTGTTCTCTGTCTTAGCCACCTGATTTGATTTTTTTTTTTTTTTTTTTTTTTTTTTTTTGGTCATACTTGTATTTTAGCTTTTATCAAACTCTGTGGTGGATGGCAGATAGACAAGGCATCATAAAGTGCCAAAGGCTGAGGTTGGACATGGGACAATTGAAGCAATTCTATGTCTTCAAGACTGCTGGTCGTGGTTTCTCTCTGGAACCTCTCCACACCGGCCAGGAGTGGCGCTCAGCAGTGAGACACTTGCCTGATGGCCACAAGGTCCTGGGATAGGTCTACAGAAGCTAAAACAAATGAAACCACCCAAACAAACAAACAAACTCAGCATGCTCTGGACTCTGTCAGCCTTTGGATCGGAAATGTCCCTCACCAGCTCGTATTCTGAACACTTGGTCTCCAGATTGGAATACTGATTTCAAGGCCATGGAGCCTTTAGGAGGAAGGGCTTTGGTTGAAGAAAGCAGGCAGTAAAGGGTGGGGGCCTTTGAAGGTCATACCCACCCCTGCTTCTGGCTTGCATTCTCCGCATTCCAGTCTGCTGCAACTTGAGGAGCCCCTGCCATGTGCTCCCACCACCGTGGCCTGCTCCCACCATGCCTTTCCTGCCTGGATGGATTGAAATGTTTCTAAAACCATATTTTGGCACAGTTGCTCACAGGAAAAAAGGGAGTTGTATATGCTCCTGGCTTCCTTCTTGCCTAGCTTTATTCCACCCAAGCCCCTAGATTTTTTAATAGGGCCATTTGTATTCAGATCAGGCTTTCCCCCCTCATTGTCTTACATGCCAATCTTCTCTGGAAACACCCGATTAACACCAGTTGTAGATTCTTTCTAATCCGGTCAAATTAACCCAAATGGTGTTCTACCTTGCCTGGCATCCGCAGGACCCTGGGTTAGACTGTCAGCAACAATGCGTATTTGGGGGCTGGGCATGGCCTCACAGCATTGGCTCTGTCAGCGTAAGGGCTGTGTCGCAGAGTCACCAGTTTTGTTTGTTCTTTGCCAAGCAAAGATCACCATCTTCCCTGCTCCTCTAGTATGAACATCTCATCTTTAACCAATCCCACATTTGAGGCCTGTTCATTGTAGCATCCTTTTCTTTATATTAATTTGTTTCAGTTTGTGACTTGAAGGAAAAAAAATCCAGTTTTAAATGGCTTACGCAAGATTTAATTAACACACGATATCAAAAAGTTCAAAAGTGTTTGGATCAAGACAGCTCTCTTGAGCCAGCCTTTCTTTGTCCATCAGTTCAATTCTTAGCTTAATTTCTTCTCAGAAAGAATTTGATTGCACCAGGGCCTGCCATGTTTTGTTTTGTTTGTTTGTTGTTTTTCAAACAGCACTCCCTCCTCCAAAGGGAAACAGAGTTCTTTTTCTCTGAAACGCCTCAACAGAAGCTTTCTCTAGCCCATATTGTCATACCCAAAGCCCTTCAAAGGAAGTTCTGACCTGATAATGTGCGTCCTCTAGGATTTCAAAGTTCGTGAGCTGCCTGGGTGGGGGTGCTGGGGCAAAAAGTGGGATATTTACCCTGTTGCTGGGCTAATTACCCAGTATCACGGGAGGGCAGGAAAACGTCCACCGCACAGCACTATCCTCAGCAGGCCGTGAGGAATTGAGGGCTGCAGTTGCCTCCTCATGGCCTCTTCTCCCCACTGCAGCCCATCCCTGGTCTACCATGGCTGACACATGGTAGACACTGGAGAACACACGTGTGTGGTCAGATGCATCAGCTCACCCCCTCTGTGCCCACCCTCCTGACCTTTCTATGAAGCAGATCTCTTCTCATAAGCCTTCCTGCCCTCTGGTTCGTTTTGGAACACCTTGAGTTGAGCGGAGACCGTTGGAGAAAAGATGGATCCGAAGGCTGTGGTTTTAGAGGGCTCTGTGTTGGCAGACCCTGGAAAGGAGAGAAGGCGGGAGAGGCTGTGGAGGGCTCCTGAGACTGCTGGTCAGCTCTGTAGGTGCGCATGCACTAAGCAGGGTATGGAGGCTCCAACCTCTCTTTTCATCGTGTATTGCTCAAGGGCCAGCATCAGCAGAGGAACTCCTCAGCACCTGTGGTTCTGCAAGGTGATGGTTGGAATTTACCGTCTGCTGGAGCCAGGCCAGGCTCAGGATTTCTGAATAACCTGGAATTTTCATGGGCCATGGTAACTTTGCTGAGGGAAAATTCCACCCACTATCCACCTTGGCCATCTGTTAAGATAAACGCCCCATCAGACCTAAGAACAAATGGAAGCTACAATGTTATCAGTGCACCAGCCCCATCAAAGGCCGGAACAATCGGTGTGTTTGTTTTTCCCACAGCTGAGTCCACTCAGCTCCTTGAAATACCTGCGGAACACCTCTCCATAGGAGGTGGCAGGAGTGTGTCCCCCTCTGACGGCCCACAGCAGGGCTCACAAGGAGAGGCCTTGGTACTCCTCAGGATGACTTCACTTGGGTGAATTGGCTCAGGTTATCAAAATGGGAAGCTAGTGTCCTGTGTGTGTGTGGCGGGGGTGTGTGGTTGCTGGCATCTAGAGGGTGAATCCATAGACACTAGTAAATCTGCTCAGAATGGTCTTCTCAGTCTAGAATTGTCTGTGATAGTGGTGAAAACGTGGTAGATGAAGAACCAATGACAGGTGAGAGGTAGGCTTAGGCAGACTTTATGGGGATGGCAGGATAGCTTTGAGGGGTACTGAATGAAAGCAAGAGAATACTCATGTGGGTACTTTTTCTTTATAAACACCAGACCTGGCCCTTTAGGGGAGAAAAGAGGATACAAGGACACACACACACACACACACACACACACACACACACACACTGAAACAGAGACAGGCAGACAGAGACAGATGCAGAGAGAGAGATCACAGGTTCAGGTGTTGCTCTACAGACTGCCACACATTTTATGAATGAAGAAGCAGCTAGAGGGCTGTTACCAGTTTTGAGAAGTGCTTGATTCTCATTGTTCACGATGCAGAAGACAGTCTAAAGGAAAGTAAAAACAGTGGGTGGGGCCGGGCTAAATGGAGACAGCGTTGTTCTGCTGGGAAGTATCTACTAGGAGCTGTCAAGAAGGTGTGAAGATGTAGGAAGGGCAATCCAGTGGATTTCCCGAAGCTACGTTCGACTGGGAGGACCGTTTTGAGACATTGCCCACATCCTCTTGTCACATGCATGTGGACATGTAGTGTGTCCTTGTTCTTGCAAGATGAGAGCAAATGCTGAGATTGTTTACAGCGGCTCTCAACCTGTGGGTCGCGATCCTTTGGCAAACCTCTACCTTCAAAAACATTTACATTACAATTTATAACAGTAGCAAAATTACAGTTATGGAGTAGCAGCAAAATAATTTTATGGTAGGGGAGCACCACACCATGAGGAACTGTAGTAAGGGTCGCAGTATTAGGAGGGTGGAGAACTTCTGTGTTGCTGCTAACAATGATAAACTGTTTGGTCCTGAACTACTATACACAGTTGATAGGCGTGCAATCAATACAGCCACTATAAAAGTTCCCCAAAAACTAAAAATAGAATTACCACACAATCCAAATACACCTACCACTCACAGACAGCTACCTGAAGGAATCTAAGTCAGCATACCACAGAGACAGCTGCACACCCATGCTTATACTGGCATTATTCACAACAGCCGAAACACAGAACCAGCTTAGGTTCATCACCAGGGGAATAAATACATAAAGACCATGTGTTGTGTGTACCCGATGGAGTTTTAGCCAGTCATTATGTCGTTTGCTGTGGGAAAATAGACACAACTGGGGATCATCCTGTTAAACAAAATAAGCCAGACTCAGAAAAATACTGCATGCATTCTCTCATATGCAGAATCAGCTTAAAAAAATAAAAAAGACAGAGGGGTGGCTATTTGAGGATAGGAAAGGAACAGCTGGAGTGGGGAGAAAGAACCAGAAGGTGTTGGGGGAGAATGTGATCAAAGTATGTTACACATGCGTGTGAAATTATGAAAACTTCTTTGTACATAGAAAAACACCACTTACTTAGGAATTATTCAGCCCTAAATGTCAACAGTGGTGAAGTTAGAGACTCTGGGCTGTAAGGG